GGTACTGGGTAGAGAGAACAGAACGAACGGTTTTTGTAGTGAATTGTGAAGACAACAACAACGGCACTGCTGGGTTCGTCCATGGATAGTTCTTGCAGCACTTTTTTTTTAGAGCAGTGGCCAAAATCGGGTACACCCGGTCCAAACATGGCCATAATCGGGTACCCCTACAAGATGCTGCTGGGAGCGACCGCATGCCACCATCTGATTGGCCGACGCCCGCCCCTTCCCGACCTTGACCGCCTTTCCACCGGGTGCACCCGATCTTGACTACACACCCCCGGGAGGGGTACCCGGTTTTTCTTTCCCCAACCCGAAAATGGCTGGACTGTTCGACCAAAACCCATGCACACAACCACGGGTCGGACGCACACCACTGGCCCTCGTTTGTCGCCAATAATGAGAAAGTAGCGGGAGGGAGAGAAATATGTCTATTCTTGAGATGAGTCCCGTGTGTGTCGCATCTCGTGAGCGAGGTTTTCATCCAGCTCTTTCTTCTTCTCGATCATTTGCACAGACCGCCTGCCGTTTCCCCCAAGGGAGACTTCCACCGCCGGCGGGGGGTCTGCCTCCGCCCGCCGGGCCGTCAGAAGGTCCGAATTCGAGGGCAGGGCGTTGCTGACGTGTACTTGTGTGCATGGGTTTTGGTCGAACAGCCCAGCCATTTTCGGGTTGGGGAAAGAAAAACCGGGTACTCCTCCGGGGGGGGTGTGAATAGCCAAGATCGGGTGCACCCGGTGGAAAGGCGGTCAAGGTATTATGAGAGGTTTCAATTCAACTACTACAGCAGTAACTTGCTACTGGCGTATGGAGGGTGCTCGTTGTTCTTATGCATGGCATGTACCGGCAGTAGTAGGTGATATAATATGTCGCATCATCAATACTTACAGCTAATAATGTTAGTCCACGACGACGAGGATGTCAAACGATAGGTTTGTTTCGGAAAGCTATCGGTGCCAACGCCGCCCGGCCACGATTTCTGCTGTGGAGTAATCGAGCTTTGAAAATTAAAAATTGTTCGGGGGGTGTGATATCTCGTGTCACATCTACTCTGTGTATAGAACTCTTTGTTGTGCTCGGTGGGCGAGCGTGTCGCGGTGTGCGCCCTCGACATTTTAACGGCTAAAAAACTGGAAAGCTTCAGACAGGCAACGCGACGATACTCGTCGAGTTGCCATCACAATTACCCCGAACAACCAGCCTTGCCGACCGGCAAAATACCGGAAACCAGCTTTCACTTTAGCTACCGGTGAAAAATTACCATGGCCAAGGTTTTCAACCGTTTGTATTCATTCGTGTGCTGCTGCTGCTTTTATCGTTTGGGGACGCGACCCCGAATTTCATTTAGTAGGTGTTTTACTTTGATGTTGTTACCGCCATTTGTTTGTGTGGGAAGTGCTAGTTCGTGTGTACACAGAGGGAAGAGAGTGCTGCACTCTTCTGCACTCTTACGTTACACGTTAAGAATCGAAGGCAAAGCACCGCAGGAGGGGCAAGAGGGGTGAGTAGGGAGGCTCCAGGAGAGGTATCCTTCTCTGTGACCACGGGTTGGAGTAGCGGCACAAATATTGTGAGCGCTGATTTTTGAAGTGAAGACCAAGGAAAAAGGAAAAAAAAATGTTCTGTAGTATTAGTGAAAGATGCTGTGCGTCGTCCACGAAATGCTTCGCGACCTTCGATGGGACAAGCTTCAAGAATTCCGTGTGTGTGTGTGGCCTGCTGCGGTGAGTCTGAGCTCCGAACTCGGAAGAGCTGGAGGGGACCCGCAAGCAGGAGGTCCCGCAGAGTATATTTCGACCTTGCATATCCGGCAGAACGTTTGCCTGTGTTTTACTATTTGACCGGTAAGAGGTAACGGGCATCCCTACTTTTCTTCCCGTGTCTAGCAGCACACGAGAGCGCATGTGTTTGGCCATGCATTGGGAGTAGTGATCGTAGGAGTTGGGCGGGCATGGCGCAGCCGCGGCAGCACTTGCGTCTGTGCTTTCCTGGCGAATCTGTGTGCCCCCTTTTGCCTCATTGGTTCGCCGGATAGGCTCTACCACAGGCTTAATTCGTCTACTATTCGATCCCATCTATGTACGAATATACGACGCTTATTTTCGATGTGGATGAGCGGTCGCGGTCACTTGGCGGGCATCGCTAAGCGGTTGTACTCTGCCGGTCTGGCTACAGCATTCAATCTGCTGCCAGACTAGGTGACAGCGTGCGCAAGTCGAAATGCCATCATCGACTCGGTCCCTTTTCAAAAATGATTTGGTTCGATCACTGACTCCATCTATTCCACTACAGTGGTGGTCCCGATATAGCGGCACCCTGAATAGTGAAATACCCTCAATATTGGCATCAAAATCTCTTGTCACAATCTCACCCCTATATAGTGGCATTGTCCCACTATTGAGGACCCCTCATAGTGGCATTTTTGGGCATATCACCCCCCCCAATAGTGGCATTTCAAACGCTTGAGCCTCCCTGTTTTTCACCGCAAACTCTGTCCGAAGACGCAAGGGAGATTTTTTTGTAGAAGGTTGGCAACATGTACGTCAAAGAGGACACCTTTTCGGACGACGAGGTAGAGCTAGACAGCACCGAAGATTCTGAGAGTGAGGGGGTTGGAGGGATGAAGGCGCCGCCATCGTTCGCAGAACTGTCTGGGTTTTGGTCCTCCAGAAGAGTACGCGGAGTCGTGCGGCATTGGCGAGGCCGGGCATCTTCTCCGTAAGGCAAAGATGGCATTCTTCACAGCACATCCTGCTAGATCGGCACGGCAGTTGGACATCAGAGCGTTTGCCCAGTCATAGTGTAGTGGTTTAGGTCGGTGGAGGCCTACAGGTGCAAAGCATCGTGACGATTGGGATTGATGCGGAGTGGGAAGTGATCGGCGTTTTCAACTTGGGTGCTCCGGTTGGTTTCACGTACATTGATGTTTTCAACATGTGTGTTTTGCTTGTGTTGAACCCCATCATGGATGGCCAGACAAGACAAAAAAAATTAATGTTCTTTGTTTCTGCAGTCCGCCTGCACACAAAGGTAGGGTGCGATCGCGGAAGGCCTCGTTGTCACAAGGACGATCAAGTGTCAATGCACCCGTGATAGGCAGATAACTGCGTTTTCATGCGGATACTGGTGCACACAACAAAAGAGGGACCCTAGATACATACAAACGAAGATCCAACAACTGTCCGTAGCGTAATCATCAAAGCTTATTCTCCGATATTGTGGCAATAATCCCACTATTGACTAGTCAATAGCGACATTATTGCCATCACATCGAATAGTGGCATTGCCCTGAATAGTGGCATGTTTTTCTCTTGCCACTACATGCCACTATATCGGGACCACTACTGTAAATAGTTCCCCTGTGTACCAGCACAACGGGGTGGCGCGTTCTTTGCGATGAACTGGGATGAGCGGTTATGTTGTTTTGGCGGGCCATGGGACAATTGGGTGTATTTTACAAGGGTCGCCCGTGCTAGCCGGCACAACCATTCAAAATACCTGTGTGTGTTTCTATGTTTGCCTTCATTTTCAGAAAGCTCTCTCAAGTTCTCCTCTCCAAACGTCAACCGGGCGAGATGTGTTTGCGCTTTGTATCACCACACGTTGTTCACCCATGCCCCTCGTGTGTGCTTTTGTTGAGCTTGGATAACCACGAAATGTTTCATACCCTTTGTTCGGCACAGCAGGTTGGTCGCCCATCGCCTCTTCAACATTTGAACGCTTGGAATGAGAGAAGTCGGCGAAATAAATGCCCTTGCATACCCTTGGGCAGTTTGGAGAGGCTTGACGTGTTTTTGGTGTTGTCCTAGAGCGCCCTGTGCCGTTTTTTTGTGTTGCCATAAGGTTCTTTGTCGTCTGATGCTCTACGCCATGGCCTTGTCTCTCACTTTGTACTGAAAAAGCCCCCATAGAGGGTCACTGTGAAGCGTTCATCCTTTGTGGTCGCCTTCATGTTCATAAGGCGATATATATAGGCCCATCATCTCCTTCTCTCGAGTGTACTCATGAACAGAGCGCTTGGTTCGGCTAGACACAACCTCAAGGTTAACTGACTTATGAAAGTCGAACTCACGACATCGCCGTCAGAACCTTTCTTCTCGAAATATGTGAATTGGCCACCGGTGACCGGTATGTTTGTTGCACTCTTGAAGGAAACATGACTGAAGACTACAACCCGTACTCAGGGTTGGAGTGTTGCGGACTAATTTACTGCTAAATTACGCTACACACACACACACTTGTGCTGGAGTTTCCGCCTCAAGCAACGATTTTTTAGCACGTGGCGCTTGCGCTCTACATTCTGTATTAACTGAGCCTGTTGGATATGCCTGGCCGGGCATTGGCCTGTATTCCGGCTTGGGCACGGTATTTTGACAACACTGACTGTTCACCTCAAAGACAGCAAATGTAGTTGATGACGGCGCCAGGCAGCGGCTGGTGCGCACCATAAACACAACAGCGATGACAACCATACCACGACCGCCTGCTCATTCACGAATCATCCACCCGATTTTGCGCGATCTGTTCTTCTTGCAGTTGCATGTGGGTTGAACACCTACTCGGTATGTAGTTCTTGCAACGTAGTTTCACCCACTTTTGGGTGAAAAACATGAGTTCCAAGCGGACGGAGAAAAACAAAACTCTACCCACGCTCGTACATAGAGGCGGATGCCCCCACACGACTCGGAATTAACAGCGGCGCACATGCTGGAGCCATGGTAAACGGCCATGTGCAGTGCCACCTTTTTTTGTGTCGGCACTGGGATAGCCAATACTAATCTCACGTGGTGCGTGGTGGGCTTACGGACATATGCCCTTCGCTGTGGTAAAATGCGATCATGCATCCCTCTGAACTAGTGCGCTGTATGTTTCCCGAGGATGTCTACAACCTTACACCTCGACAACACCCCTACATGTGCTGCCCCGGCGTACTCTGGCTCCGCGGCTCTATGCGACTGCCTGCGTCTTCTGCTGCTTGGCAACTTCGGTTCGCGTGACAGCTCTCTGGGACCACACACAAAACGTTCAAGACGTCGACCACAAAGAGCGAGGTCACAGCATGCCAGGTAAGCCTTCGTTCAGCAACGTATGGAAGGCGGTATCCTCGACACAGTCATTGTCTTCTGCGGGTGGGCCTATCTGTAGTAGGCGTGGGTTGGTATACCGCAGTGGCACGCGGGCGTACTGATGCTGGTTGTCCTCGATGCCAGCAGCAGAGCCAGAATGGACTACTCAGCTTGTTGCACCTCGTGTGGAAGGTGTACCATGTTAGGAATGACTGTTTGGGTTGAACGGCAGACGCAGTCTCTTGTGGGCTCTGGTGGTACCCATGAAGGGCCTGATACATCGCGCACCATCTTGTAGCATACCTGTCACACCGAGATTGACGTGGGACGTCCGTCGTCGGTAACCATGGTCTTGCGTGTCGGTGATACTGTAGCACTGTTGCGTGACCCACCTCTCATACCTGCACCGTCTCGTCCGGTAACGTCTCAACGTGGTCGTCCATCTTGCACCCACCACAAGGGAAAGCTGATTAGGTTGTGCGCGGGGACTGCGAGCATGCTAGACGGCAGCGTATTGCTGTAGCCTCTACCCTCTGACCTTGTGATCACTGGTGGCTCGAGATGATGATCATCTCATCAAACTTTGCATTCTCTATGTTACTCGCTAGGTGGACCAATGCCAAGCCAGCTATGCCGGTTGCTTGACATTTTCGATAGTGTTGAAGCGCAGGGACTGAACGACACGGGTATCGGTCCCAGTCTCAGCCTGAGTGAGAACCCATGGGCTGAGCCACCAGAGTCGATCGTGGCCAAAGGTCCGAAGAGTATCAGAGGATATTTCGAAGACCTGTATGCTGAGCACTGCAGGATCAAGCGCCGCGGCGTCAAGGTTGTTCTTGTCGGGCAGGAAGGAGCAGGGAAAACGAGGTCGGTGATGTGATGACCCTGCTGTTGCCCAATACTGCACTTGCACCAAACAGTGGTTGGCTTCAATCGTATCACACGCAGTTCGATGAGCCACAACCGCTCATTGGTTGTTTTCACCACAGAATCGTTTGGTTTATTCACGACGAGCGGCAGCCACAGGCCGTTTCATGTCTTGGAACCCTCCTTGGGTGGCTGTGATTCATTTTGGTCTTATACCGAACCTGTGCGCGAGTGATCGCACCCCCTCTACCGACCCTCATAGCTCGATCACTCCAAAGCCGAAACCTGCCGAGAGATCTATGGGCGTTCTTGACGACATGTTCCGAACCTCTCTTAGTGGTGGCGTAATCGAGTTACGACAATCGGTCTACGGTTGGGTGGGATGCGAACACTCGCACCATCGCGGTATACATATTCCACGTATTTGTGCCCAAATGAGAGGGTTGAATGTCACCGTGAAAAGGAATGGTCGTGGGGGTACAAGACCAACGCTACTCTTCCTCCCGCGCATCAGCATGCTGTCGAATATAGGCTGTCGCAAACCAACCGCGGCGAATTCACCTTGTTGCGCCCAAGCGACCCTCTTCCTTATCTCTCCACCATTCGTGCTGCGTATTTGTTGGAAACTCTCTTTATGTGTGGCAGCTTGCGCCAAAGCATGAAGGCCAATAAAGCAACTCTCACGGGCGAGTGGAAGGAAAATAGCACAGTGCTTGCAGACGTAGAGTCCATGGAGCTAGAAGGCTCATCTGTACGGGTGTACGACTGCGCTGGACAGGTGACGGGTTGTTCATGCTGAAGTGTTTTAGGATGGGTGCTTGGCAGAGGTAATGCTTGGCACCGTCGCCCAGGAGAATTCGATATCTGCCCTACGTGCGAGGGATGACTGCGTGTAGCACTAACTGCCAGACAGAGCGAAATCGTGCTCTCAAAAAATTGCAGCTTGTACCCCCAGCGACTGTTGTCTCACGCGATGCTGAATATATTCAAGTACTTGACGTATTGTATGTTTCACTAAAGTACTTGTTTCACGACGGGCCTATGACGTGGATCACCCGGGTGCGGTTTAGCACGGGTGTAGCGTCTTGGGGGGTCACGGGGCGGCAATGAAATTGGTGCTCATCTCGGCACGTTCGGCGAATTTGTTAATGGGTAAGGCCTCAGTCGGGGGAAACTTGAGAACAGCCGACGTTGTTTGGGTAGGGTGCTGATGGCCGGCCCTGAATAATTCCATCCAAACTCGCGCCCTTCGAAGCGCACCCTTGCGAGTTCCCCGAAGCCAGTGAGAACCCTCCAATCATTTTCGTGATGGTACCGTGGTGGAGAGGACGAGCTGCTACATTTGATTCCGTGTCGTCGGGTCGGAGATTTGAGGCCACGAAGTTGACAACCCTGATCTGGCGTGGCCGCTGGACAGTTGGCACGAAGATGTTGTTGCGCTAGGGGTACAATTCCTAAGTTTGTAAAAGTATAATCTAATCTGTGAGCTACATAGTGCAGGTGCTAACGGATGTTTCCCGCGGTACTTCAACCCTTTTAATACAGAGTGTGCAAAAGACAAGAATATGTTGTTTCGTGGGTGTGCAGGAACTGAGATTTCGCAAATGGACCATACTCTGTAAATATTTGATTTAGTGCGCCGAATGGAAGGTTCCCCACCCGCTCTGCGTTGTTTTGTGGCATATATATAGTGCATTCTGGCTTTCGATTCGGAGGTGGCTCCGGTCTCGGAGGGTCTCGAATAGTTCGATTTGGGACTGTGCTTAAATTGGGACGAAGTACACTCCGCAGGGACGAGAGGCCAAGTGGTCGATGCTGCTTGATGTTTAGCTCACATTGCTCTCCCTGGACAGGTTGCCTACACGGGGCTGCTGCAGATGTTCTTGACACCACGGTCGGTGTGCGTGCTTGTGTGCAACGCGGGGGAGTTCGGAGAGCAGCTAGGAAGCGACAACATTGACCAGGTTGAAGAAGACTGCCGCAAGCTGGAAGCATTGCGCGTATGCAATTGGCTTCGATCGATATCTCGACGCGTTCCCGACACCGAAGTCATTCTCGTCGCCACTAAGTGCGACCTGGCCGGTGGGAACGCTTGGGAAATTGGCAGAAGAATGGAGAAGGCCTGTCGAAGGTGGCTTTCGAGCTGGGCCTGCCGTAATATGCTGTCCGTTAGGTTGGAGCCCGGTGTTTGCCTCACGAGCTGCTTCCCAGTAGGGGCTGGTGAGCATGGCGAGAGTAGCAGTGAGAACTTCCTGTCGAAGAGTTGTTGGGCGTGCGACTGGCGAGATGTGGGAGGCGGTGAACCCTCGCCCAGTTTGATTTACCGGCTCGTCAACAAGCCTGACAAAGGTGGGCTCCGAGGCGTCCAGATGGTTCTTCCTCGCAGCTGGGATATCGCCCTCACTTTCCTGGATTCTCTCGAGCATGGACGGTGAGCTTTATCATGTAGTCACACTTGGGCTCTACCAACTATGGATACCTTCGTATGTCGAAGCCGGAGGGGATGTGGACACTTTGCTCACCTAACGTTTTGGGTGGGGTTGAATCCCCACTACGTTAAACACCCGCGCTGACCTCTATTCAGTACGTCCTCCTCGGCGCTGGTCATGGTGGCGAAACGTAGCTCCGTGGACCCATGCCCCGTCAAATTCACGTTTTCGATTCTTCGGCCTACACGTTTTTGTTGCGAGTGGCCTTCGTTAGAAATCTCGATACGCTGGTGTGTGCCCTACGTGCACTAGTATCCCGTACGATGCAGAGGTATGGATGCAGTCCTCGAACACTGGCGTGCCACGAGCGCCGACGAGACGCACAGTCCGGAGGTATGAATGCGTTTTGAACCTTGTTATTTTGTTAATGCTGCTTTCCCAGAGATCCGGTGGAGATGGTAATACTCAAGTCCCCTGACAGTGACAGAGGTGCAACGGAAACAGCAAAGACAACCGTGTATCAGGGGATCACGGTTGAGGAACTCAGCGCCAAGTGGCAGGAAACAGTTGATGGGCTTGGGAGAAGAGGGATCACGGTCACAAACGCCGAGAATGCTTTGGAAGGAGCTCTCTCGATCAGGTAAATGGAATGGATCAAATCGACGTTTCAATATGGCGACCTCCTTTTTCACCACGCCCTAGAGCCAATGTTAGGCACGGCATCGCTGCAGTTCGGTGTACAGGATCTCTAGCAAGCTAGTATGTCTAGGTCTCGAGTATTCTGTTGGTTTTGTTGGAAAAGACGTTGTAACGATGCTTCCCTCGAAGACTCCGCCTGGATTTTGGACTTTGGATTCCTCCCGGGCGGATTTTCCAACTCGAACATTTGGCTTCACAATGTTGTGCACGCAGGGAGTTCGACGGATCCCTCGTTCCCCACGAGAAGTTTGTCTTTCTGGACGTCGTTTGGCTGGCGAGAATCCTCAAGCCCTTACTCAACCACAAGGACCAAGAGATGTTTGACGGCCGTGTGAATCTTGGGGACACGGGCGACACACGTATCACACTCGACGATTCAGCAGACATCGCTTCGTGGGACAGGCTCAAGAAGGAGGGCGTGCTTGAACCGAGGTTGGCGTATGCCATTTGGCCGAATGGTCTGTCCGAGTATGTGCTGCCGACTCTTGCATCCTTGGGTCTCATTTTCCCACTCGAAAACGATCCTGCTGAGGGCCTGGTAGTTCTGTTGAGGCTAAAGCCACACCGCCCCGAGAGTGTGGGCAAAGTGATCGATACCTTCTGCTCGGGGCTCACCCCGGCATTCCGCGCCAGTTGGAAGATTTTCCTCGGTGTACCGCCTGGCGCGATCGAAAAGGTGTTGACACGGTGCTGCGGTCTTGGTGGTGTGCAGACATTCTGGCGATACGGGGTGCTTGTGCATGGCGGCCTCGGCGTCCAAGATGAGCGCAGGACATTCGCTGTGGTCGTGGAATACTCGTCCACCGACAACGAGCTTATTGCTCAAATTTTCGGCGATGTCAGCACCCCAGGCCCGTGGGGGGCGACGTCATACGTCATGTCTGCGGTGAGCTTGATGCTGGTGGATTTTCCAGGACTGGGCTGGAAGGGCTATCTGGAATGCCCTCAGCATGGTGACGGGATGCTCTTTGTGAACAAGGTAAGCCCTCAACACGCGTATAGTCTGTGGACCAATGAATGCCCAAGCAGGGTACACTTTTGGTCGCTCGAAACACCCCGTTCTGGGAATAGTCGATTCTGGGAAAAATCGTGCGTGCGGCAAAGGCGGTAGTGTTTTCACGTATTGGACTTGCGTGATTATGTTGCTGCAGGGCGTCGCTTCCGGGTGGGTTTATCGGCGTTCCATCATTTTCCAAGACATGAACGTGTTCGAGACAAAAATCGGGTCGAGATGCGAACTTACTTTTACGCTTGCAACATTGACGGTAAAAGATGTTGCGTCCCACTTGTCAGGCGACTAGAGATGGAGACAAATTTCTGGAAGGCAGTAGATGCCCACAATGCAGTGCCGATACCGGAGGGCTCGGGGCCGCGGCTATCGATCTCTTGCGTTTCGTCGACATCCGCCTGGACCGAGGTATGTACGACCAATGTCGAGGTTGGAGTCCCGTTACAAGTGCGAGTGAGCCCACAGGTGTTCGATTTGCGTTTCTTCATGCGTACGATGTCTGCCACTTGTGCGATCGCCACCACCCCAACGGTAACTTTCAATTGTTTGGTTCCGCTAGTTGCAGGCACACCCCTGCGCGACAGCTCCGACTTGTGCCATACTTGATAAGATCGCATCAGATACCCGTATTTTTGTTTCGATCCCCTGGAATATCCTCGCCCTCTGCGATCTGAACAAATCACAACGGGCGAACCTGTATTACATGACTGTGTTCTGCTGCAACAGACCTGCGAGCGTTCCTATATAGCAATCGAGCACAGAACCGGTACAGCTCGGTAGAGTCATTCTACGAGTGGCGACTAGCATGGTAGACTGAGATTGTTCTTGTGGCGGTGTGCGAAAAACAAAGAACGACCGGCTCTCTGCTGAAGTTGATCAATTTTCCTTCCAGCTTACTTCAGCGTCATTTGGTTGTCCTCGTTGATCCGTGAGTCCAGCCGTAGGTCTACTGATAGATTGTATGAGTGTTGGAATCGCACGAGATTGTATTTCTGTTGCATTGTCTGCACCCTGCCGGGGTCATCATTGAGGCTGACTCTCGTGCTTACGACATCGTTGTACGTAGTGCAATGTAGGCAACACGGAGGAATGAACTCGATGGCTCCGGCCCGGTCAAGTTTCAACCGTTGTCGTCACCTCTCGCGGGCTACCCATGGGGGCATCCGCTTTGCGAGTATCTCGTCGTGAGCAAGAGAGTAACTGTTAGGCCATGCTGATCTACTTCTTCCTCTCATTTTCGCACGGCAGACGTGATTTTCAACGAGGTGAAGGCGAGGTTCAACGACCTTGAGAGTCAGTACTCCTTCACTTGCCCGACGGTGAGAACGGATTGCACGTCTCCGGTTAAAAATAATTAAACAACCGAAGCAATCGGAGCGATTTTTCCGCATCAACGTGTGTTCCGGTATGATCCCATGAAGAAAAACCGACATCAGTTTTTGAGTTCTTCCATTTACAAACTGTGCCCATTGTTGACCAAAGCGGACGAACCCGCTAGCATCGAGCTCTGGCCTGTTTCGGTGTCCTGTCGGCGATTCGGTTTGTCTTCAAGTATTGGCGTAATTTTACGCCGCTGCTCATAGCGTGCGGTGATTCATTTCGTAGGTCTTGAATATCGAGCGACTAGATTACGTTCAGATTATGTATGATCTCCTTCGAATGATCTACAATGTTGATTCCCCTCGAAGCCCACCCACCCGTCACCCTCACCGGGCATTTGTCCGCTGACCGGCTTGGTCTGCGGCTTGTATGTTCGGTAGCTTGGTCTTGTGTGGGGTAGAGAGAAAAATCGGAGGCATAGTCTCGATGTTGCCGTGTTCCTTCGCTCCTCGCTTACCGTGTACGACACCATCACGTTCCAATAGTATCGGTAATAACGGCGGTACAATTTCACTTCCATGACGTGTATCAACTTGCCCTGGTTCGGAAACGATCTTCCACACTATTTGACAAAAGTAACCACTTCCATGGAAGCATAACGCTGCGAACAAAAGAAGAGCTTCCGTGGAAGTAATACCTACATGGGAGCTTTCGTGGAAGTGAAAAAAGCAAGTTCCATGGAAGCAATTTTCGGCTGGAACAGAATCCTCCCATGGAAGCGTGTCAACTTCCATGAACTTCCACGGAAGTGCTTTTCAGCTTCCATGAAATAACCATGGAAGCTGGAGCACTAAACCTATACACAGCTGCCACACACGCTTCCATGGAAGCGATATGACTTCCATGGAAGTATGTACCGCTTGCATGGAAGTGATACATACTTTCATGGAAGTGATCACAACTTCCATGGAAGATGTGATCACTTCCATGAAAGTGAATATTGACTTCCATGGAAGCTTGAAACATTTGTCAAAAAGTGTGCATCACCCTTCGGAAAGGGTGCGCTGGAGGCATATGCTGACATGGCCTACAGTATTCCATATTGCAACCCCCTGGCCACCCTGCCTGGCTCATGGCGTCTCAGCAACGTCTGTGAACCAGGATTGTGGTTATTTTCGTGGGAGCGCACATCTGTTTAAGCTATATGCCTTGCCGCTGAGATGTGGCCGTCCCGTGCCGGTCCGTGCGTCATGTTTGTACGCAGCACGATCGCTCCAAGGAGGAGAGCGAGTTGATTCGAAAGATCGATGGCATGGCCACAGCTGTGCAGGGGGCGTTCAATGAGGTAAAGGTTGAGGTGGAGGGAGGACTCAACGAAGTGAAGGTTGAGATGACAGCGGGATTCGCCGAGGTAGAAGGAGGACTCACCAGCGTGAAGGGCGAGATGAAGGAAGGATTCAACGAGATGAAGGTTGAGATGGAGGGAGGGTTCGATGACACCAAGACCGAGTTGCGTGACGTGAAGGACGAGGTGAAGGACAGGTTAGGCATGATATCGGGAAGGCTAGACAAGGTGCTAGAGAGCACCCAGGAGAGCCTCATGCGCCTCAGGGACTTGCAGGCCCCGAACTACCGTTACCCGCGACTTGTGGTCGTCAAGGAGGTTGGATCTGATGGCACCGCGTCGAAGGCTCGTGGGAGGAAGAGTATGCTTAGCAAACTTTGTGGCGTGGGCAAGAAGGACATGACCCTGCAGTTCTTGTGCCCGGTCGACATGACCCAGGTGCCGTGCGGCTATGGTGGCGAAGGCTATCGATTTAAGGAGACGCGAAGCTGGGTGAAGAAAATATCTCCTGTGCTTCAGGCAAGACAACACTGTTTAGTAGAGGCACTATTGCACATGGGTTCTACATTTTCCAGCCCATTATGTTACGTAGTTGAGGTCACACTCCCACGAACAATTCTTCCCATGCAATACGTGCTGCAGGTGATTATCAAGGCTGTGGTTCGTGGCTTAATCCTTTGAAACGTCAGCGATGATGAGCTTTGGTGGATTTTTTGTTGTCCTGTTGGTCGTGCCCTCTCTTCCTTCCTTTAGGTGGCCGTGGTGACCGCGAAGGTGGCGCTGAACGCAACGACAGGGCTGCACGTGGATATCTCAGATTTCCTCAAGGACGTGAAAGATGGGTTGGTCGAGGAGCTAGTCGACCGCACCCTCGACGACGAGGCTCTCCTTCGTGCTGTTTTGGGTGACGACAACATCGGCGCAGATTTGCAAAGGGATACGAGGGCCTCGTATGAAGCGCTGAAGAAGTTCATGGACAAGGAACAAATTGAGAGGGTCAAGAACACTCGGGATGGTGATGGCTACATCGACTTCAGGGACGAGATGAAGCGTGTTCCGGACGGGAGGGGCGGTATGGTGTGGGTTAGGAACGAAAACGTTCAAAAGTGGTTGGACTCGCGTTCGATTGCTGCTCCAACTCGCTAGACATCGGTCTTGTTAGATGATGCAGCGCATGCACATGAAACCACCCGTGCGGACGTTTTTGTACCCACAGGGTTCAGACCACCGTTGGATATCACCTGGAGAGAATATTTCGACTTGGGAGAAAGAGCATCTCGTTGTTCCGTGTTTTGTCCGTGCCTGTCCGTCAAGTTCACCCGAAACACCGGAACTTGGTAGAGGGGGTGGTTGTCCTGTGTCCCTAGAGTCCCACGTAGGCATTCCGGTAGCTTATGTGGTAGGGCGGGAGCTCATCACACATAAAGAGATGTTCTTGCAGGCTATAATGGGCACCATACGATGGATTTCCAACACATTTTTCTTGCACAGGTGGTAATGGTAAGAGCAGGAACGCTACCCATAGGGTTTCCGAATACGGTGGCGATCTGTAGGACCAAGAGGGACCACCGGCCTGCTCCACCAGGCATTCTGTCCATGAAGAGGGACCATCGTGCTCAATAGTGGGAGGCCTTAAATGTGCCATTTCCTACATGCTAACCAGTACGTCGCTGCTGACAACCAATAATCTGCAAATCGTGCAGTTTTGTGCCGTCACAGAGAATTGGGTGCAAGAATACGAAGTGTAAGGGGTGACCTCGTGTCGCAATGGAGCGGCGGTGGTTGATTCCGGGAGGTCGTTTTGTTTCCCTATGCGGTCGCTTTGTTTTCATATGTTTTTTGCCCCCTTCCCAAAACAGGGAACAGGGAAGTCGGAATTATGTTCTGACTGGCCAACCACAACATCGTTCCTGGATCCAATTTTGGCCTCCCAGGTTCCTCCTTATGGGTGAGAATACGCCGCACCATGTTTTAAATGAACAGCAATAGGGTGCACGAAAAAATTTATTCCTCATACCCAGGGCGCAATTTGAGAATAATTTGTGTTCCCTAAGTTTTTGAAGTTTTTTTTCGTCGTACGGTACGGTTTGGGAGAAAAAAAATCGGGTCGAGGCTCAGTTTCTCCTTTCATCTCCTTGTCGAGCACATGTTGTTACCCCTTGTAGAGTTTTGAAAGAAATTATGTGACATCCCGAAGGAAGATCGTACGGGTCGATGAAGAGATTGAGCTCCACGGAAACACGGTCTTCACGATGTTCACTCATCCATTCTTGCCCATGACATTCGTTGGTAGGGCTTTCGGATTCCCAAGTTCCGGTGTGTAGCCGAGTCTTGACTCCGACACGCATGTCTTTCTGGTTTGATCGAATCAGAAGCATGACATTGCAGGGTGTCCTGTGCGCTATCATACGAGCCCCCGTGGGTAGGCGTTTCTCTGCGTCTACCGATCTGAATGACTTTATCGATGACTTGTATGATAGCTGTGGGCCGTGCCAACACAATGCAAAAGTCTTCGTAGGGCAAACGACACCCTGTAGATAGAATTTGGCCTGTGGAGTCTGCTCCACCGGCCTTTGAGCCACTGAGCCCCAGTGGATGGGTGTTTCTCCACGCCCAATAGTCCGATTGGGGTTCCCGATGGCTTGTATAATAGCTGTGAGCCGTGCCAGTATGGTACGTTCACGGTTAGGCGTGGTTCAGCTATGTGACGGGAGGTATTGCGGGACTAATGACATTTAGTCCCCCCCCTAGATGTTTGCCATCGGGGTTGGGTTTTCGTCGCTTGGCAACGACGTTGTAAAACAAGCCGATTCACTTCGTGAACTCGGCAACCAGGTTACCGTTTTTTTTTACCTCTGGTTTCTTTTTTGCCATAACCATAATGGTGGTCGAGTAGATCATGTTGTGCGGGGTCGAGAACCCTCACTCCGCGCAACGGGGGATGATCGCACCACGTTGTGTTAAAATGGTCAAGCGTCCTCGAGGCAGTTACACCGTGCTTTAACTGTCTCTGGAAGTGAAAGCACCAGAAAATAAATTAAGTCATACGCAGCTGTCATTCGTACGCAAGGAAGTAAGCACAAGATGCCGAACACCCTTAGCAGGATGCAGCGCACCCTTCATGCGACTCGCCGAATGCCTCACGGTGCTTCGCACTTGGTGATGTGAAAGCCTGGTCCGGTGAACCCGGCGTGCTCCGTCCCGGCTTTGTAGGTATGCGAGGTCAATGGTCTAACGACTACGGCATGCACGACTATGAGTATGAGTATGAGTACACCCCCCCTAGATGCTGCGCCCCCCCCCCTGTTGACCACATCTCTGCAGGAACATATGGATGTGGGGGTGACCAATAGCTTGTGTGAACGGTATGGACCGTGCAAACACGATACAAAGGTTTCGAGTCAATTTGAGCTGTGTGGGCGGAGTTACGAGACGATTGCCACGCTGAGATGCTTCGGAACCCCCCTCTTCCAGCATATCTCTGCAGCCACTGGTCCAATTCAGCTTCCAAGTAGCTTCGTAGCTGTAGCCGATACCTACACGATGCAATGAGTTTGAGGTCATTTGGAGCTCTTTGGACGGAGATCTGCTTGGTGGAGCAAATGGCATCGCCGAATATTTTTTCTTCCACCCGGCGTTCGGTCAAACGCCACAGGTAAGCAAACCGGCGCCATGCTACAGTTGGAACAGAATCAACTCCCTTGGATACACTACACATTTTGTGTGAGGGCATTTTTCTCACTCTTTCTCTCTCTCTCTCAACGTTCGTGTGTACACGAGAACCATAACGTGGGGTCGGCAACACACTGTTGTCCACTGCCACTAATAATACCAACGCGGGATAATACTATACACGACAGTCAATCCGCATACCAATCTCGACTCATTTTAGTGGACATCTGTTTCTGCCTCACCAACCGCATCCTCCGTAGCACTACGTAGGACGTGTCTGTCGGGTGACCGACCCACGACCGGGATTGGCTACTTGCCCCTCTCTCAGCAGTATTACCACAAGGCGCATGCAGTGCGCCAAGGTGGTCAGCTTCGCATGGTTGTGCGAACCGCTCTGGATTCCACAGCCACGACACCCAACGGGCGACTTGAGGGACGCTCGCAACTTGTGCAAGCTCTGCCCCTCAAGACCCGGTACCCTTTAACTCACCGCGTTAGAATACACCCTCCCAAAGCAGAAACAAACGGCACGACTCACACACACGCCAATGCCCTAACCACATCACTCAGTAAGTCAACCCCCCGGTGCCTCTAGGCGCTCTGACGGAAAAAAAAAACTTTGACCAGCTGTTAGATGAATGTCCGCTTGCGATTCCGTACGTTTACTGCCTCCCGTGCGTGTGCGAGAGATCTCCCAATCACCCCATCGATCAAAACTCCAGCCAATCAAGCAAAAGTCATCGGTCGATTGGCCTCGCGTCGACGACCAAGTCAGACAGTCACACCGATGCGACGTGATGCGAGGCGACGAGATGCGATCAGAGGTCGTCTAGGCCCTTCTTGAGGGCCGCCACGAGGTCGTCCGTGTTCTCCACCCCGCAGGACACGCGTACGAAGCCGTCCGTGATGCCCACCTTCAACCTGACCAAGCGAGTACGAATACGGTGGCGGAAGGGCGATGAGAATACTACGTGGCTTCCACGGCGTGCGGCAGCACCTGAGCCTACCTCGACCCAACTAGCCACGCGTGTATTTCGCATTGCGTAGCTTTCCCACCCTACCCAACACCTACGACGAAAGAAAGTATTGCACCCTCCCTTTGTTTGAGTCATGTTTTCGGGATATAGCTCTTCACCGCGGAAATTTGCTGCCTTGCTTTTAAGATTAGGGAAGAGGGTTACTGGACACGGGCTTTTCTTTTCGCGGAAACAACCACGGCAGCAACGACAACGATTGCATCCGGGTTCCCAATGGTGTTTGCCCCAGGTGTATCTGTGTCTCTTTCTGGTACAAGCTAAAACACAACGGTGGGCAAAGACGAAATTCTTGCGCCGAAAAAGCTCACCCCCGAGATCCTGGCGAAAAATGGCGTGGCCTACAAATGGTGCGCAACTCGCTACAAAACGAACTGGAGCGGAGATATTGGCCGCAAGGGTACCCAGCAGAGTACACACCCGCGGGACGTGTGCAACATCCATTAAGAGAACGTCGACAGCGCTGTCGCCGCCAAGGGGTGGGTACACCCGACGAGCCCGCGTTGAGGGACGCAAACGCGAACACCGAGGGTGTGTGCCGCTGTGCCTGTTGGGATGCTAAAAGGTTAGATCCAACACCCATCTTGTTCGATACTTTCTCGACACCATCTTGTCCGGTATTCCCTCTAGACCATACCATCTTGCTCGTTATCTTCCGTCGTCATCAAGCAAGGACCCGTCCACCGTTCCCCCCGTCTCTCTCTCTCACCGATCCTCCTTGAGCATGTTGGCGTGGGTCATGACCGCCGGGCACGTGAGGATAGACTCCGTTGCCCCCAGATTCTCGCACAGGCTCCATGGCCGCTGCACCGAGTTCATGAGCTTGCGCCCGGCCTCCGTCCCGCCCTTGACCTCGAACCAGAGCATGGACCCGTGGATGCCGTTGCCGTGCTGTGCATCGGCGAGAGCTTTCTGGGGGAAGCTGGCCAGTCCAGGGTAGCGAACAATGTCCACCTGTTTTTCGGGGGGGAGGGGAGGGGGGAGGGGGGGGGGAGGGTATGGGCACCAAGCCGCAAGGGAGACTCTGAGCTACGGCCACTCGAGAGAGCGGTTGGTCGGTGAAAAGGGGGGGGTGTTTTGGAGGCGGTGTGAGGTTTGATTCCCAGCAGCAGTTCACATACTAGTGGAGGGGTTCGGCGCCGGAGAGGGTAAGAAGAGAACTGTCTTTTATGTACGCATGAAACGTGACATACAGAGAAGGGTGGTCGTTTCCGGGGTTGCGGACAGGATGATCGATAAAATGCATGCATCCATGCATGCTACAATAGTAGCCGAGAAACGGCAAAGGTGGACGCCCCCCCCTCCCCCCCAACCAGCCGATGGCGCAAGCCACCTGACGCACAAAGGAGGCATGCCACGAAAAGCTGCATGTAGGTATGCATGAAGATAGAAAGACGTGAAAAACTCGGGTTATCACCACCAACATGATTGCGTGGTACATGCCGAGATGAGCCCCCCCCGCCCCCGCCCCCGTGTAAGCCCCAATCCCCTCACGACATGCTTGGAGGGTGATATCTCTCCCATCACCTAGACGTTTGACACCTGCGAGCACCCGTTGATATCCCGCACACGCTTCAAGGGAGCGCTTCAACTGACGCACACCAGTCAGGTACATACACGAAAGAGTTGCCATTTTTCTTTCGTTACCTTTTCGTGACTCTCGAGCATTTCCGCCACGGCCTGCGCTGTCTTGCACTGCTGACGGAACCTCAAGCCCATGGTCTTGCTGTGCTGGAGGATGTAGAAGGCGGCCTGCGGGCTGCGGCAGAAAGAAAAGAAACACGCACACATGCGTACCAGATCAAGGCCTTTAGAAGCATTTTCCGTGTTCAACCGCGCGGGGACTGACGTCTTTCATTGTTATCCGGCTAGCGCGGTCGATGATAATAATAAAAACGCGCACCGAGCGCACACGTAAGGTTGCAGGGCATCCATCCAGGAGGCAGGGCGGGCGGCAACACGACGCCGAGGGTGGCCGGCAAAGGGGTGGAAGGTCTAGGTCTTGTCTCAGCATTAAGGCTAGCCTGGGGGTCTGCTGAGTCGAACGCGGTCGGTTCACGTTTTGTCTTGCGCACACGAAAGGTCGGCTCCACCCGAAGGCGCGGCGGTAGCTTGCTCGTAGCTTGGTACACGGTGCTGTAGCGTCAAGAACCAAAAAGACTCAACGCGGTCCCACCACTCCATCTTCAAACGACAACGCACACAGCTCACAACCCGATCACGCAAGCACCTACACACACACAACCCTTTGATTAGAAGGCTTGTTCGTTCGCGTTTATCCTTTTACCACAAGACTGGCGTCATTTCATTGATCAGCCGGCTAGCGCGGTCGATGCTAATAGCAAACACACACACACACGGCAATCAAATCACCTGATAATGTTGCCGTGGATGTTGCTGTAGAAGTGCAACTTTTCGTTGATTTCTTTCGTGGCAGAGGCAACCGCTCCGCCGACGGTAACGTTGTGCCCGTCGTAGAACTTGGTCAAGCTCTGATTGGTCAAACATATCACCACCATCAACGCCAGGAGTGCAAGCGGCGGCGGCGTCGGGAGGGGGGGGGGGCGATTTACGTGACACGTGCAACAACATCGACGGGGATTGGACCGTAAAAGGTGATAACAGTACGGCAGGTTATGCACGCGGATTCTCCGCTCGTGATGTTTTTGTTTTCTCTACCTCTCTCTCTCTCTCTCTCTCTCTCTCTCTCTCTCCCTCTCTCCGGCTCTCCTCCTCCTCCTCCTCCACCAACCCTTTCCTGTCTTCTCACCTGGAGTGTCATGTCGGCCCCCAGCTCGATCGGTCTGGTCATGATCGGCGTCGAGAAGGTGGCGTCGCAGACGTGGGGGACCCCCGCGGCCTTCGCAACGGCGCTGACGGCCTACATCGTAAAGAAACGACAGACCCGAACAATCCCAATCCGGCACGGTATAATCCATATTCCAATCCGGTACGGTGTAGCGGTCCAAGCCGGGGAGGAGAGTGAAGCCAAGGGACACGAGCAACAACCCGACCACAACACAACACATGCAGCGTATGGCAAGGGGTGGAGTCGGGCGCGCGCGGGGGGGGGGGATGAGCGGACGATGCGTAAAGCTTAGTCCAGACAACAGCGTGACATATTCCAACGGAAGGTCGCCGAGAGCCACGACCACTCCAACAAAAAATACACGTGTTCCTTAGGGTGCTATGGAGGCGTTGAGACAAAACAAAAACTACCTATGATCCGAAAACACACGCTTGCAAACGCTCTAGATGATGGATGCGAACAACCAATAATCTTGGTGTCAGAATCGCAAAGCGGCGAAAATAGCAAGAGCGTGACCCCCCGCCCCCGCCCCGGCCCGTCCTTCTCCACATTCTCACCCGGATGTCGGTGAGCGTGAGGGTCGGGTTCGCCGGCGTCTCGCTGAAGATGAGCTTGGTGTTGGGTCGGATGGCCGCCTTAACGACTTCCGGGTCCCTGAAGTCGACGAAGCTGAACGTCACCCCGAGGTCGGAGAACATCACCCGAGCCGCCCGGTTCGTGCCCCCGTACGAGCACTCCGTGATCACGCAGTGGTCACCTGTTTTTTTCGTTCCATCACCATGTTGTCGTGGTTGTGATTGTGATTGTCATGGGTGGGGTTGGGTGTGTGTTTTCTCCTTCGTTGTTCGTTGCCCCCTTGAGAGAAGAAAGACGAATGCGAGAGATCGGCACTACGTCAGGAAAGAAAAGTTCCAAGAATTTCCCCCCGCTCACAGGCCTCGGAGCAGCAGGCTGGCGTGACAGTAACCTGGACACGACACATTATCACTATAGCGCCACCTTCGGCGCCACTACCACCACTACCAGATGGTGTATAATAGCAGCTGACGCCCGGCTCACCAGCCTTGAGGAAGGCCGACATCACCGTCACCGTTGCCGCCATGCCCGTCGCCACGCAGCATGCGCCCCCCGCCGCCCCCTCCAACCCGGCCACCTTCGCCTCTAGCGCCGCTACCGTGGGGTTGGCTGTGCGCGAGTACGAGAAGCCTCTGTCCTGTTGGTCCATCGGCGGCGGCAAATAATTAAACACGAGTGTCGGTGTCGGTGTAAGGCGAGGCAGCCCTCGAGGGTGGCGGTGGCTGCAGGCAGTGGAAGTCGTCAAAGGACTTTTCTCGGTAGTACCATGTGTTGATGAAGTACGCTCGTGTCCGTGTACGGGTCAGGCTTGCTCAACGTGCGGGTTTCAATTGGATGCAATGCCGTGTTTGCAAATCAGACCAATACGGTAGCAGTATTGATTACTTCACTCGCCGTTGGACGTGGCCGGCCGTTCTACCCTTACGTCAAACCTCAACGGTAGCATTTTAGCGGATATAACATCGGTGAGTCTCAACTCCTCATGGATTGGTGGAACCATCGGAATTTGTACTAAAATACCGCCCGTGTTTGTTGCTGGCACTCTCACACAGTGCATCAGAGCAGGCAGTGCTTTCTTCCTTCGATCCCCATAAAACATCGTTCGATCGCTCGCTCGCTCATTTCAAGAAGCTATGGTGGAGGGGCGTGGGGTTACTCGCCCTCTACCCGCCTGGCTTTTGAGGGTCAGTGATGGTGGTCACGATAAACAAAACAGAGACCAAATCCCGACTTCTAATTAGACACAGTCTCTGCTGCTAGAAATAGAAACAGCACAGTCCGAAACATAACCCCCCACCCCTGGGAAAGGAAAATAATAAAATAATGGGGTTGACCCGCGCCCACGGACATGTCACATCTCTCACCACAAAGAGCATATTTTGCTAGAGTAATCTCGGATTTGAGACGCATCTAGATTTCGGAACGAAATCGGGAAGAGTCAGATATTCCAGAAAGGATGTTGGAAAATGACCCCACCTTGTTTAGTCCCCCTTTTCTCTCCCGAAATACGCCGGAGCTATCGAGGAGGAGGGATATACTTGAGAGTCGTAACATGCCGCCTCGCAACACGCGGCGCTCCACGGCGGCGGCTTCGGCGGCTGCTTCTTCTACAACGGCTTCCTCAGCGGCGGCGCCTGCTTCCTCAGCGGCTGCTGCCCCGGCGGCGGCTGCCGCGGCCCCAGCGGCTGCCAGCGCGCCGATGGGACCGCTTTCCCCGCCTCCGCCTGGGCTGCCTCCCCGGCCCGACCGCCAGACGGTCACGTTTGTGGACGCGACCACGGCGGCCTACGCTCTGCCGTGCTACGCGGCGCTATGCCGGGAGCAGGGGCAACGCTGGACCTTGGGCGGGTGTTCGACCGCAACCGCCTCGGTTGCGATCAGGGCACTGTGGAGGAGTTGGTCCTCCGTTTGAGTGAGGTGGCCACTCGGCTGCCGCCCCTTCCCGGGGCGGAGATCTACACGGCGGTTTTGGCGCGCGCCAGGAAGGTGGCCACTTCGTGGGCGGGCGACAAGTCAGTTGCCTATCGAGGCGAAGAAGCCCAAGCCG